TATACATTTTTAAAATTATACACATACATACATACATACATAATTTTGTCCTGGGGGAGTTCCTTGACTTTACCTTCCAATCATTTCACTGAATTATCAGTGACATAATTCTACACTTCTACATTCCAAAGAGCTCTTTACAATTCTCTGATAGTTCTTTTTATTTTTTTTTATAGCATCTCCTTCCCTTTTTATGGACATTGTTTTCTTAATTTTCTTGAAGGATCCTAATTAGAACCTTCAACACTTACTCACACTGGCGTCAGCTGCCGTGTGCGAATGCGTGGGTTTGTGTGTGGGGGAGGGGGTTTGCCAGTCTGCCTCTGTCTCTTGCAGGGCTGGCTTTCTCCAGGACCTGGTGAGCCTCAAGGGTAAATGAAGAGCTGCCCTGTGTTTTCTAGAAGGCAAGGATGGGTGGATATGCTCGGGGATGCCTTCTCAGAATGAGAGCTCGTGCCGGTGGTTAGACCTCAGCCTTTGTTCTTTCACTTGTGGGTGAGTCAGCGGCTGGGAGAAGAGTGTAGGGAGCCAGATGGAAAAATTATAGGGTAAACTGACTTCGTGATCCCCCCTCGGCTGTTTCCAGTTCTCTTTCTCGCTCCTGTACTCCTTCACTAGCAACTCCAAGCCTGGGGCCTCCCCAGGGTTTGGCCGGGCAGACGGGCTGACTCCAGAGCCCTCCTCTCCTACGGCCTTTCTAAGTGGATTCTGGCCTGCAGCCCTCCTGCCCTGTGGGATCTGTCAACCTGCTTTCATCCTCTTTCCAGGAACTGATCAAACTATCCCCTTCTAGGTTCTACACTTCTAAGTCCTCTGTCTCAAAAAACAAAATTATATGATCACTGTGAGGGATCTCAGGACACCATCTCAAAGCAGAGCCTCATTAGGCATTTTTGATGAACGGACTTTTGAGGGTGGTCAGGTGGATGGCACAAACAAGAAGTGGGTAGAAAATGCCAGCTGTACCAAGAGTCTTTAATGGAGAGCATCTGTCTTATCAGCGGGGCAGAAAGCAATCGTGAAGAAGGAGGAGAGAGAAAGAAGGACCCAGAATGTGGGCTGACCAATAAATAGGAAAAGTAAGATTCTGAGTAGGCAAAAATGCAGAAAACGGGGAGGTCGGGTCATGTTGCCTCAGCAGACGCCCTGAGTGTCCGTGGACTGTTCTGGTCGCAAGACATCAGCCCCCGTGCCCTGTGTATCAGGACCCTCGTCGGGTCTAACTCCCCTCCAGGGAAGGGGCATCTCTTGGGATCAGAGCCTTTAAGAGGAAAGCCCTCACTCTGTCTGGCATTCAAGGCCCCCTATATCATGGTCTTACCCTTCAAGTCCTACTCTCACTCTCTGCCCCCATGCCTTTCTGTTTCCTGTTGCTGGGTGTACGATCTCAGTGTTTCTCCACCCATCCTTCCACCAACCCTTTGCCTCCACTGGGAAGCCCATCTCTATCTTGACAAAGTCTACCCACTGCACTTGGGAAGAGGGAGGCTGCGTGTGGGGACGGTGGACAGGCAAAACCAACCACAGCTGGGGAGGACCAGGTCATGTTTTGTTTTCTTTGGTGAAATGGAAGCTCAGAGATGGAGAGATGGAGGCAGACGCCAGGTCTGTTTACACAGACCCAGGGCTTCATCTCTACCAACGGTATTACATGCTTGAAACGCCTCCTGGTGTGGCGTAGAAGGACTGTGCCCCCCTCAACCCCCCAAGCCGGTAACCTCCTCCAGGCAGAGCACATCCTGGAGAAGTAATGGCAGCTCAGGGTCCTTGTCTGTAAAGTGCCTCATCTGCTCCGTCGGCCTCAGGGGTTGTGGGAGGTCAGGTGGGATATGTCATATAAAGGCACTTGTGAACTCTATGGTGGTATTCATGGGGTTCCCAAAGGTATTACTGCACAGGAAAAAAAATCTCTCCATGTTCCTGTACCCCAGGATCGTCTTTTGTGGCACTTGTCACATCATGCTCCAAGGTACGGTTACTTGTGTGCACGTACTTACACATTCTGGAATGTTAGCATCTGCAAAGTTGCTCAGTAAAAATAATGGACTTCCGGAAAATGGGATGAGGGAAGACCACTCAGAAAGTACAGAACTTTGTATCCAAAGCCTGAAATATTTGATAATGCATCCTAATCCCAATAAAAACACTAGCTAGCACAGTTAAATCACAAGAGCGTTTGCACCTTGCCTCATGTTGGCCAATCCTTTGTAGCTTGCTTTTCCAACCAATCTTCCTTCCTTCCTTCCTAAGTTTATTTACTTTTTTTAGTCATCTCTACACCCACATGAGGCTCAAACTCACAACCTTAAGGTCAAGAGTCACATGCTCCTCCCAACTGAGCCATCCAGGCACCCCCTATTTTATAAGATTTTTTAAAAGTCATCTCAATGCCCAACGTGGGGCTCAAACTTACATCCCTGAGAGCAAGAATCGCACACTCCACTGACTGAGCCAGCCAGGTGCCCCATTCGGGGGACCAGTCCTTCCTTTTCCAAGAGGTAGGCCATGGGTATACGACCATTTTAATCACGGTTAAAGATCTGTTCTAGACGGAGCCTTCTTCATGCATCTACTGTCTTAATGCAAGGAGAAATGTCTTCACCTGCCCTGAGCCTCTCCAGAAAGCAGTAGAAACCATCGTGGCTCCCAAGGCCGTGGAACCTGTCATACTCTCCCTGAGGTTTCAAGGTTTTTCCTGAAAGTCTATACCTACTGCTAAACATCTTCATTTTCTGTAGCTGCTCTAACAAATGACTGCTGCTGTGGTGGCCTGAAACAATACAGAGCCATTCTCTTACAGTTGAGGTGCTCGGAAGTCTGAAATCAAGGTACTGACAGGGCCAGTCCCTTCTGGAAGCTCTATGAGAGAATGTTTTCTTGCCTTTTCCCGAGTCTAGAGGCTGCCTGCTGCGTTCCCTGGCACTGGTCCCTTTCTCTGCCTTCAACACCAGCCAAGGCTGGTGGAGGTTTTTCCTATGGTGTCCCCAGGACACTCACCCTCCTGTCTCCCTCTTTTACTTATAAAGACCATTGTGATTATAGAGGGCCACCCAGGTGACCAACTCCCCATCTCAAGGTCAGCTGATTAGCAACCTTAATTCTATCAGCGACCCTAATCTCCCGTCGCCATGTCACATAACATAGATTCTGGGATGGGGATGCGGACATCTCGGGGTGAGGGGAGGGGGCGGCATTAGTCTGCCTACCACGCTCAGGTTATTTTAATTGTGAGGAAGCTTGTCCTTGATCACTTCAGAGTGCTTACAAGCTCAGAAACTTGCCTAGGAACAAACACGGCGCCCATATTCTACTACTACCAGGTCCTCCCTAATCCTGTCTGAGGTAATTCACAGGAAAAGAACAAGTGCGAGAGCAGAATGGGCTGGGGCTTAGTCCTCTGTTGGACTGTGAGCTTTCTGATGGTAGGGGTACCATCTTTCCCTTGCGTTCCCCACCACACATTCCACAGCGTGGGTGCCCCAGTAAAGAGCTCTTGAAATGGATTATTCCTAGGTAGGGACGTATTTGTACATCTAAAGCAACCCTTTGGATTAAGAATGACCCATCATCCTGCCCATCGACAGATGAATGGATAAAGAAGTTGTGGTATATATACACAATGGAATATTATGCAGCCAGCAAAAGGAATGAGATCTTGCCATTTGCAACGACGTGGATGGAACTGGAGGGTGTTATGCTGAGTGAAATAAGTCAATCAGAGAAAGACATGTATCACATGACCTCACTGGTATGAGGAATTCTTAATCTCAGGAAACAAACTGAGTGTTACTGGAGTGGTTGGGGGTGGGAGGGATGGGGTGGCTGGGTGATAGACATTGGGGAGGGTATGTGCTACGGTGAGCGCTGTGAATTGTGCAAGACTGTTGAATCACAGATCTGTACTTCTGAAACAAATAACGCAACATATTTTAAGAAAAAAGGAAAAGAAGAAGATAACAGGAGAGGAAGAAAAGGGGAGTATGTCAGAGGGGGAGACGAACCATGAGAGATGATGGACTCTGAGAAACTGAGGGTTCTAGAGGGGAGGGGGTAGGGGGATGGGTTAGCCTGGTGATGGGTATTGAGGAGGGCACGTTCGGCATGGAGCACTGGGTGTTATGAACAAACAATGAATCATGGAACACTGCATCAAAAACTAATGATGTAATATATGGTGATTAACATAACAATAAAAAAATTAAAAAAAAAAAAAAGAATGACCCATCATCCAAGAAAAGCAGTAAGCGACAAAAAAAAAAAAAAAAAAATCTCAGGAGGGAAAACCCCGGTGTACCTTGAGCACAAAGTTGTCCTCAGCCTGGAGCTTCAGATCCACTACTGCCTTCCGAACCAACGCTTCGAAGTCGAGGTCTCTCCTCCGGGGGACGTCCAGGGCAGGAAAGAGGTCCCCAATCAGGCCCATGAACACTGGTATGTCGTCAGTCACGATCTTGGGGATGTTGAAATCTCGCAAGGAGCGCATCAGGACTTGGTCCTCGGGGCGGTCAGGGTCCCCTCGCTTCAGGGATCCAGCCACCACCAGCACAGACTTGATGGCCCGCAGGCCCCAGTCATAGTGATCCTGAGGGAAGGAGGCACAGGTCAGGCAGGCCCTGCTGGGATGCAGAACGCCCTATGCCCATGCTAGTACCTATAAAATTATAGGCAGGTGACTTCTGAGGTCAAGGAGGAGGCTCAGGAAAGGACCAATGACATGGAATATCGTGGGGGTCACAGATCCCAGCTCCCGGTCTGGCTAATGCTACTTTTCAGCTGTGATGACAATGAAGCAGACCCAGAGCATACAGGGGGCTGGGGGCCAGGGAAAGCAAAAAGAACCACCTCCCGACCCATCTGGCTACTTCTTGCACGTCCAGAGAGCGGAAGGGCATCCGGGAGGAAGCCACGTTAGCTCTTAGGGATGGTCGAGGCTAAGCTCACATGCTCTACACCAAGGAGGCCTTCAAACGCTCTGAGAAAAGCCGCGAAGAAAAATTACCAGTAGCAACTCGTAGAAAGGCCGTGGCAAGAGTTTAAATCAAGACGCAGGGGTGCCTGGATACAAAGTGGTAGGAAGAAAATGAGATGGATCTGAGAGAGATCCAGAGGGTGGAATGCAGAACCATTCACCCTTGATTAGATGGAAAAGAAAAATGCCTGGAAAAGAAAAACGCCAAGGATGACTCCCAGCATTCCAGGATTAGCCAGTGAGTAAGGGAGGGTTTTGCGTTCTGAAGCACAGAACGCAAGAGAAGTAGGCTGGGGTGGGGACCGGCAGGAAGATGGGCTTTAGATGCCGAGTGAGAGGAGCTTTTCTCACACTCAGGAGAGCTGTGGTATAGACCGCTGAATATACAGGCTCAGAGCTCAAAAGAGAGGTTCGGGGTGGATTTGTGGCTGTCAGCTGCTGGCCTGCAAGTCAGTGGTGGTGGGGACCTGGCAGTTGATGCCATGAGCAAGGGGCCCAGGAAAGCATGGAGAAACAGAAGAGGTTTTTAAAGAAATCCACCTGGGACGGATTTCACGGGGCTGAGTGCGCCCGTGCTGTGGCAGCAAAGATAGTTCCAGTAAGAGAGAAGCAAGTAAGAAAGGCCTGAAGGGAGGAGAAGCTCAGTGGGAACAGCCCAAGGAAGCCTGACTGGCTGTCCCTGTCACCAAGAAATTCTCCACCCAAGGCATGAACCTTGGAGGTTCTTGTTCCTGTGTGGGGACCTGCCCCAGGTAGAAGCCACATTTAAGGACAAGCAACAAAGACCTCTGTGGGACTCCTTAATGCCTAACTATCTCTTCCCAACCCTTTCCCCATCCCATGGCCCTTCAGGTAGAGACAATTCCCTTCAAGGGAATTTTGTCGGCCACGGAGGTGTTTCTCATGGGACACTCGATCTATGAGGTGTTGCCAAGTAGTCTATGAAAAAAGTTTAGGGGCGCCTGGGTAGCTCAGTCGGTTAAGTGGCTGCCTTCCGCTCAGGTCATGATCCCAGAGTCCTGGGATCAAGCCCCACATCGGGCTCCCTGCTCTGCGGGGAGTCTGCTTCTCCCTCTCCCTCTGCCTGCCTCTCTGCCTACTTGTGCTCTCTCTCTCTGTCAAATAAATAAATAAAATCTTAAAAAAAAAAAAAGAAAAAAAAGTTTGGAGGCCAAATAAGGTGTTTTTTTGTTTGTTTGTTTTTTAATGCTAGGCTAAGAAAAATGAACACGAATCTTTGTTGTAGAAGTGGTCAGAGCTTTTGCTATTCTTACAGACACACTGACTCTCTGTGAGAAGGCTCTAGTACATTGGCCCAGAGCTGGGCAATCACATGGGACTGGTGGTCCAGCCAAACTAGGGAGAGTACCTGTTTAGACAGCAGCTCTTTGCACAACTGGTAAAGGGTGATGAACTTTCTGGCTAATGACCGTGCTTCAGTGAATCCTTCTGCCACCAGCATGATCTCGCAGATCAGCTCAAAGTCTGGAACCACCATTGCACAAGGCCTGTGAACAGGGAGACAGAGGGCCAAGATGGTTTCCCAGCCACAGCTGAAGGGGGGCTTGGAAGACAAGCGACATTGGCTGAGATCATGGACAGAGGGATCTGTGAGTATAAACCCTTAGCTCTTAGCAAGAGTTTCATCTAAGACTCCCCAGGATAAAAGGGATGAGTTGACCAAGCATAAAAGACATATGAACACTCTGGTCCAAGGTGATGGATGATGGTAGCAGGCAGGGGCAGAGTTGGGGCTACAGCTCATCTTGTAACCTGGGGCCAGCGTACCTTACACAGGCACAGGTTAGTAAAGCTTTAGTAATTCATAATTTATTAGTTACTTCTATAACAGATTAGGGGCTAAGTTTGAGGAATTAGGTCTCTCCTGGGGTCTACAATCTATTTATTCCTCATTTTCAAAACATATCTCTCCTCCAAACGTAGACACTTGGGGCTTATTCTGTACTTACATGCATACAAATGTAAATATCTAACGCTGAGGTCTAAAGTAAATACCCATTAACCCCATCTTGCCACAAAATGCACATATGAGGGGCACCTGAGTGGCTCAGCTGGTTAAGCGACTGACTCTTGATTTCAGTTCAGGTCATGATCTCAGCATCTGAGATGGAGCCCTGCATCAGGCTCCATGCTCAGCACGTTGTCTGCTTGGGATTCTCTCTCCCTCTCCCCCTGCCCCTCCCCCTGCTCGCATGTTCTCTAAAATGAATAAATAAAATCTTTTTAAAAATGTCATACATGAGAATACAGAGGGGAATTTTTGTCTCTCTATAAGGATTTGCTGTGGTTTTTTCCCCCCTCTAGCTCTAGAAACATTTGATTTTAGAATTACTTATTTTTAAAAATAATTCATTAAGTATGTAACAGGAGCCTAAGGTCGTTCACATTTCCTTAACTGCATTTTCCCTACACCGATGTAAAATTTTCAAAAACATATCATTCAAGAACATTTTTCCTTTAAATTATTTTACATTGTATTGAAATTCAAAGGCGCAACCAAACACTTAGATTCTCAAAATTATTTTGCAGCCTGAAATAAGGTGAAGTATGCATCCATACAACAGAATGCGTTAAGACCATGGGAAAGAATGCTATAGGAGGAAAACTATTTAGTGGCACAGGAAAATAGTTAACAAGGCAGGATCCTCACTTATGTAGGTTCTTTTCCCAAGTTTGAAAAAAGCAACACTCTGCCCACCGGATATTGGAAGGGAGGACGCCAAAGGGTTTTAACTATCTCTGGATGATAGTATTTAGACAGGGAGAGCAAGTGTTCTGGAGTCAGACTGTTTGGGTTTGAACCCAGGTTCTGTGGCTTGCTACTTGGGCTCCTAGCTAACCACAGTAACTGGGGTTCCGACCCTAGGCAATTTGCTGACCCTATTTTCTCCCTGTACAAGGGGGATACTAGTGGTACCGACCTCACAGATAGGGCTTTTGTGAAAATGAAGTATAAAAGTAGACATTTGTATTTATTGTTTTTACACATATTTTTCTCCCCCCACCCCAATCCAATTTTCTGGTATAAATGTTCCCTTTAAATTCGGGGGGTGGGGATGTAAAGAGTAATTCTGATCAGGGTGATAATCCACCTCTGTTATTGCTTGTAGACATGAGGCTCACTTAAGAAATACTCTGTGCAAACAAAGAGCCACCACTTTGGGTAACCAACAAGCTCTGGGTTACAGTGGGCACTGGCCTGGGCCTGGGGCAGGGATGCCTACACCGCACCTGTGACATAGGGATCTGCCACCGCTGGACCGCACGGGGACCCGACCGAGGGGCGCAGTGCACAGGGAAGCTCTTCAGCGGTCTCCTGGGCTCCGTGTCCCCACAGAGCAGGGGCTCTGGGTCCCCAGATGAAGCCGATCTCTGTGTCACGGCTCCCACGGCCTCTGTGTCTTAGGTAATGGTCCAGTAGGCAGAAAATCAGAAGCCATGAGGCATCTTTTGTTGTTGGGCTGACTTCTCTTTGCTGAGACAAAGAACGGAGACTGCAGCCCCTTCTAAAAATGCGTTTGTGTTTTCTTAACACAATAAAGAAGATTTAAAAGCATGGCAATGTCCACCGGTGGCCCAAGGCGAAGTATAAGAGGTGTTCTCATGCCTCGTTACTAGGAGCGTGATTCAGCACTGCTCTTGTTTAGAAAGCAATTTGTTGGTGTGTGTCAAGAGCCTTAAAATGCAAATATTTTCTCCCATTCTGTCGGTTGTCTTTTGGTTTTGTGGACTGTTTCTTTTGCTGTGCAAAAGCTTTTTATCTGGATGAAATCCCAATGGTTCATTTTTGTCCTTGCTTCCCTTGCCTTTGGCGATGTCTCTAGGAAGAAGTTGCTGCGGCTGAGGTCGAAGAGGTTGCTGCCTGTGTTCTCCTTTAGGATGCTGATGGACTCCTGTCTCATGTTTAGGTCTTTCAACCATTTGGAGTCTATTTTTTGTGTGTGGTGTAAGGAAATGGTCCAGTTTCATTCTGCATGTGGCTGTCCAATTTTCCCAACACCATTTGTTGAAGAGACTGCCTTTTTTCCATTGGACATTCTTTCCTGCTTTGTCAAAGATGAGTTCACCACAGAGTTGAGGGTCCATTTCTGGGCCCTCGATTCTGTTCCATTGATCTACGTGTCTGTTTTTGTGCCAGTACCATACTGTCTTGATGATGACAGCTTTGTCATAGAGCTGGAAGTCCGGAATTGTGATGCCGCCAGCTTTGCTCTTCTTTTTCAACATTCCTCTGGCTATTCGGGGTCTTTTCTGGTTCCAAACAAATTTTAGGATTATTTGTTCCATTTCTTTGAAAAAAGTGGATGGTATTTTGATGGGGATTGCATTGAACGTGTAGATTGCTCTAGGTAACATTGACATCTTCACAATGTTTGTTCTTCCAATCCATGAGCATGGAACGTTTTTCCATTTCTTTGTGTCTTCCTCAATTTCTTTCAGGAGTATTTTATAGTTATCAGATAAAGGGCTAGTATCCAAAATCTATAAAGAACTTATCAAACTCAACACCCAAAGAACAAATAATCCAATCAAGAAATGGGCAGGAGACATGAACAATTTTCCAAAGAAGACATCCAAATGGCCAATGGACACACGAAAAAGTGCTCAACATCGCTCGGCATCAGGGAAATCCAAATCAAAACCTCAATGAGATACCACCTCACACCAGGCAGAATGGCTAAAATTAACAAGTCAGGAAACGACAGATATTGGCGGGGATGCGGAGAAAGGGGAACCCTCCCACACTGTTGGTGGGAATGCAAGATGCTGCAATCACTCTGGAAAACAGTAGGGAGGTTCCTCAAAAAGTTGAAAAAAGAGCTACCATACGATCCAGCAATTGCACTCCTGGGTATTTACCCCAAAGATACAAATGTAGGGATCCGAAGGGGTACGTGCACCCCAATGTTTATAGCAGCAGTGACCACAATAACCAAACTGTGGAAAGAGCCAAGATGTCCATCGACAGATGAATGGATAAAGAAGATGTGATATATATACACAATGGAATATTATGCAGCCATCAAAAGGAATGAGATCTTGCCATTTGCAACGACGTGGATGGAACTGGAGGGTGTTATGCTGAGTGAAATAAGTCAATCAGAGAAAGACATGTATCAAAGGATCTCAGTGATATAAGGAATTCTTAATCTCAGGAAACAATCTGAGGGTTGCTGGAGTGGTGGGGGGTGGGAGGGATGGGGTGGCTGGGTGACAGACATTGGGGAGGGTATGTGCTATGGTGAGTGCTGTGAATTGTGCAAGACTGTTGAATCACAGCTCTGTACCTCTGAAACAAATAATGCAATATATGTTAAGAAAATAAAAAAGAAGAAGATAGCAGGAGGGGAAGAATGAAGGGGGGTAAATCGGAGGTGGAGACAAACCGTGAGAGACGATGGACTCTGAGAAACAAACTGAGGGTTCTAGAGGGGAGGGGGGTGGGGGGATGGGTTAGCCTGGTGGTGGGTATTAAAGACGGCACGTTCTGCGTGGAGCACTGGGAGTTATGCACAATGAATCATGGAACACTACATCACAAACTAATGATGTAATGTATGGTGATTAACATAACAATAAAAAATTAAAAAAAAAACAGAAAAAGAAAAGAGCCTTAAAATGCACCTCCCTCTTAACTCAGTGATTCTGCTGCTGGGAAGTCAGCGAAAGCAAATAATCATGCATATAGAGAAAAGGACTTATATACAAAGATGCACATTACAGCATTATGTACACATTTCTTTTAAATATTAGAAACCGTCTTAATATTTAAATATGGGGGGCTACTTAATTACACTGTGGACCATGTGCTTGGTAGGATAAAATGTAGCCGTGAAATTAGATTTCTTAAGAATATCTAATAGAAGAGATGATTTATGATAGGATTATGATAGAGTATGAAGTGGAAAAAACCAAAGCAATATGAAACTATGTCGACCACAAATGTAGGACTTTAAAATACCCTATATAAAGGAGAACAGAATAGAATTAAGCAAGACATAATTTTACCGGTGGTAGCATGAAAGGTGGTTTTATAAACTCTACTTTTTTATGTGTTCCAAATTTCTTCTAATATATATGCCATACATTTTCAGTGGAAAAAAGTAGAAGCAGTTTCTCTCTCAGGCCCTTGCATGGGGCAGGGCTGACACTCACCTGAAGAGAGACTTGAGGTTCTCTGGAAGTTCCGTGCGGCCGGCGTAGCCCGGGTTCATGGTGATGAAGATTCCCACAGAAGGATCCAGGCTAATCTCCTCCCCAAGGAAGTTGAACCGCTGCTTCTTGTCTCGGATTGCATCTTGAATGCTTTTGACCTGGTGAACAAGTCGACGGAAAAGGTCTGCACCGTGTTCCAGGGGCGGAGTGATAGCTAAGGCTGGGAAGCGTGATTACGCCCGGTGCGGACACCGGCTCTGTGGCCCCTTTCATTGAAGGACAGGCGCAGTGACTGCACCCTGGACCCTCTACTGATGCTGCCCGTGCAAAGGAAATCTGGTCACCCACATCCGTATTGACAGCACAGCAGCTAAGGGGTTGGGAGTGAGCAGCAAACAGGTATCTATCCCTACTGACCACTCACCAGGCACTGTTCCGAGGGCTTCTTACGTATTAATTCATTTTCTCTCCACCAAGATCCTTCGAACCCCTTTCTCTATGATGGCCCAGAAGCACTAGGCAGTGCGGTAGTTCGCCTGACCTTGCACAGCTAGTAAGTGGTCGTGTTCTGGACTTGAATCCAGGCAAGTGGATTCCGGAGCCTGGGCTCTTGGCCCCTGCATGATGGAGGGAAGACCAGGACCTAGCCCCCGGGGTTGTTCTAAGGATTAAATGAAATCAAGCCTGTAAAGAGCTTAGCATACAGAAAATGCTTAAGAACAGCAGCTGACATGGAAATCGTTAACGTGGTCCTCAGCCTGGCTCCTCAGGTTACGTCTCTAGAACAGACAGCGTGAACACAGCTTACCTCTTTAGGGATCGTGTGCCCTGCAGAGGGCAAAGCAAGGCTTGGAGCCACATCCCCAAGGGCTAGGAGTGCCTTTCTAAAGAGATCAGACTTTTTCTTAAAGTAGGAACTGAAGCTGAAGCTTGACCTGATCATTCCAGATCACCCTCTCAGCAGTGGGAGGAAAGACAGAAACAAAATCGCCGTTTTCACACACAGCGCTTTGGAAAAGCGTGTGCAAAAATGATCAGCGACGGGAGGGAAGACAAGAGGGGCACACTTGTTCGGCCAGGCCCCAGAATGTCTCCGAGTTATCTGCAGCTTCTTGGGGTTCCTGAAAGCAAAGCCTGAAAGCGGGGGGACCAGTGCAAGGTTTTGAATGAGCTCCAGTCCCATTGGCCATGGTCAGGGTGTTTAGAATAGCCAAGGGTTCTGGGGAGACTGGGCTGCAGGTGCATGTGTAGGTCTGGGGGAGAGAGGACTTAAACAGAGAAGGACATGGCCAGAGCGGGAGCATTTATGAAAGAGAAAGAAAGAGAGACAGATGAACAGACTGACAGCAGGAAGTGAAAGAGAAAGACATGAAGCTGCTGGACCACCTACCACGGAGGCAGGCTCTCTCCAGTGTCAGGCTGGGCAGAACTCACTGGAAGGTGGGACAGGTCTACAGTTAGGATTCCGCTCCTTTCCCCAAGTGAAGCTCTCAAGACCAAAGCATTTGAGCTCATGGCAATCAGTTTGAGACTGAAACGTCTCTTCTGCGTACAGAGTGGCAATACCCTTGTAGGGCAGGTGGTCTTCAGCTCCCCGCACATGTGGGGCTCACGGCACAGTCCTGCACAGCACCTCCTGCCTCCCCATCACCCCGCTGCTTATGTGGGTGGTAAAGAATGGGCTCTCTCATGGAGTTTCAAACACAGGTAGGCGTAAACCGATACCAAAAGGGCCAGGGACACTCCTCACTCACGGGGGTCTATTTCTCTGCTAAAAACTCATCGCTTTGAAATGAGGGACTAAACTCACAGGGCATAACAACAAAAGAATAACTGACATTTACCGAGCACTTGGTATGTACCAGGCGCTTCTCTGAGTATTTCGTGTGAGTTATCCCGTTAAGTCCCTTCAATAGCCGGATGAGATGGGCAGATCCTTATTTTAAAGATAGGGAAGCTGAGCCAAAGGCAGTTAAAAAGCAGTGCTACAGTTACGTGAGATGCTGAGTTTAGGGAGGCAGGCGAGGGGTATGTGGGGACCCAATGCTATTTCTGTAACTCTTCTATAAGTCTAAAATCCATTAAAAATAAAAAGTTACAAGGAATAAAAGAAAGAAACTTGCCAGCTAACAGTTGGTACGCGGGCAACCCGAGTTACCAACCAGGCAATCTGGTCCCAGAGCACATGCTCTTATTAGCTGCTTCCCCAAACTGCGTTTTACCAGAAGGACACCATGCCAGCCACGTATGGTGCCTCATCAAACATGCACCTCTCAGGGGGATTTTATTTTGCTCTGAAAATAATCATAATTTAGAGACATGTGTTTCCACGAGGTAAGAAAAGGCTCATTTGCCAATCATTAAACACACACACACACACACACACACACACACACACACACACACACAGAGAGAGAGAGAGAGAG